ATAATGCTTCACAGTTCAAAAATAATATGAAAAATAGATATAATGAGTAGATCCAGAATTTCTTGTTTTTGACATATACCATGTATTCTTCATTCATTTTTGTTTTATTTTTATTTATTTTATTTTTTGGAGACAATCTCGCTCTGTCACCAGGATGGAGTGCAGTGGTGTGATCTCAGCTCTCTGCAACCTCAGCCTCCTGGGTTCAAGTGATTCTCCTGCCTCAACCTCCTGAGTAGCTGAGACTACAGGTGCACACCACCACACCCAGCTAATTTTTGTATTTTTAGTAGAGATGGGGTTTTACCATGTTGGCCAGGAGGGTCTCAGTTTCTTGACCTCATGATCCGCCCACCTCAGCCTCTCAAAATGCTGGGATTACAGACTCATTCATGTTTTTAATGAGAAATAATTTTGCATTATTTACAAATTTTGTTTTAAATTGATAATTTAAGTTGTTAATCACCCAGTGGAAAGCTGACTTGGTGACTGTGACACAATCACCTCTATAACTTATTTTGTTGTGGTTATGGGTTCTAGTTTTAGACTACCTACTAGCTTGTCTGAAGTACTGACAAATCATCTACTAACTATGTGCCTTTGTACAAGTTTTGCAACCTCTCTAATTCAGTTCTTTTTTTGTTTTGTTTTGTTTTTTTGAGACGGAGTCTTGCTCTGTTATCTAGGCTGCAGAGCAATGGCGCAATCTCGGCTCAGTGCAACCTCCGTCTCCTGGATTCAAGTTATTCTCCTGCCTCAGCCTCCTGAGTAGCTGAGACTACAGGCATGTACCACCATGCCTGGCTAATTATTTTTTTTTTTTTTGTATTTTTAGTAGAGATTGGTTTTCACCATTTTGGCCAGGCTGGTCTCAAACTCCTGCCCTCAAGTGATCCTCCCGCCTCAGCCTCTGAAAGTGCTGGGATTACAGGCATGCGCCACTGTGCCTAACTTGAATTCAGTTTTTATATGTCCAGAATGGAAGTCATAATTACACCTACCTCTTGAGCTATAATGGCAAAATGAAAATCAATATAGGTATCATAGTGCTTGACGATATCAACAGTTGCTATTTTTTTCCTTTTCCTCCTTTTATTTTTCTTCCTCTGCCTCCTCTTTTCTTTTCCCTTCTCGTTAAATCAAATCTCAATCCAGTTATTCAATCCAGAAATATGAGTGGGATTTTGTCCTTTATTTCACTGACCCCATATCTAAAATATTGCTGTATTTATTTGCGTCTACTTTTTAAATACTATACTTTAATAATAATAATGAATAGATCATACTTTAGTTTTAAAAGTTTATATTGCATCCCAACTCTTTTACAGTGAAGTCCAAGACCCTTTTTTTGTTTTTTAATAGCCATATTGGATAATATAAGTAGTGCACAGTCACTTATTTGGAAAAACTGATTTCTGCTATTTAATAGACTTTCGGCAGTGGTACTTATGGTATGGGTGATGTTGTATTCTTGCAGGTCTAGTGCCAGTTGTATGTGAATGCAGAAGCCCTAAGGGAGGTAATGTGAAGAACTGAAGAGTAATTGAGGAGGTTTTTTAAATTTTTTTTTCCTTCTCCTCCTTCACTTTTCCCCCTTCCACCTCCTTTCTCCCACCTTGGCCTCCCAAAGTCCTGGGATTACAGGCGTGAGCCACTGTACTTGGCCAAGAAAATTGCATATATGTTTATATATGTAGTATAGGAATATCTGAGGACAGAGAAAAATCAGGCTACTATCAGTGCCTTTCCTAAAAGGCGAGAGGGCAGATTAACTGTCTTCTTTAACCAGCCCAAACACTGTTGGACTGGTTGGTGCAATGTATTTTAGTAAGAAGTTCATTGAAAGCAAAGCCTGTGACAAGGACTTACATGGAGGTAATTTATTTGGAAGCAGCACAAATAAATGCGTGAAGAAAGTAAGACCGGGGTGTCTGGGCAAGGAAATAAAATAAAGCATGCATTAGTAAGGTCCTTTCTGCAGACAACAAAACTTGACTCCTATGGGCCGTCTGAGAAGCATGAAGTATTTTCCAGAATTGTCCATATAAAGAGATGTGGCTGAGGTAATTATCCATTGACTCATTCCCCATTGCTAGGCCCAGGTGTAATTCCTTAGATTCTAACTTCTGAAAAAGCCACAAGGAAGAAATATGAGAGCTATGCTCTTGAAGTAGAAACTTTAGGCTGTATGTAGTCTGAGGGAGCCAGTAGAAGGAATGACGGGCTCAAAAACTGTCTGATACAAATTACCGTGAGCATAAAAAATTTTCACAATTTTTAAATTTACACTTGGAAATAAATTAAAACTAATGTGGAAATTCCAAAAATAAAAAGTGCAGAGCATCTATATACCCTTTTCCCAGATTCACTAATAGTTAAACTTTTCTCTCATTTGCTTTCTGTCTTTTTCTCTTGAGAGAGAGGGAGAAGGGGAGGGAGAAGAATAATATTTTGAGCCATTTACCTAGCATATTTTATCCCCAAAACTTTAATGCATATTTTCTAAGAATGTAGACATTTTGGGTTATAACTGTATTTCAGTTATTATTTAGGATATATACAATATTTGTATGTAATCTATCATTCATATTATAATTTTGTCAGTTAATTTAACAGTGTCCTTTGTAGCATTTTTCTTCTTCTATTCCCATTAACCTGTGCTTAACCTATTTTGTAAATTTTTGCCAAAATAACAGGAATTTGATTTATTAAATTCATCTGTCATTTTGTTTTCTCTCTAACAGAATTTACTTTTATATTTATTTTTTCATTATATTTTCTTTGGATTAATTTTGTTGTTACTTTTCTTTAAATTTTGAAGGGGATAATTAAATTCATTTAAATGGTTAGACTTATATTTTTGCTAATAAGCATCTCTTGGACTGGAGAATTTCTTTTTATCACTGCTTTAAATATATGTCATAGATTTTGATAGGTAATGCTTTTCATTAGCATATATTTTCAGAAATTCTAACATTTCTGTGTATTTTCCTTTTTACCTCAAAGCTAATTATGTAAGAAGTCTTAATATCCATTTGCAAGAGATGTTTAATTCTATTTTTTAGACTGTTTTGTCTTATTTCTACATTATAAAAATTATTGATTTTTTTATGTTTTAATGTAAATATTTTGGTCTTTTCATATGCAAATGAAAATAAATTATGTTCTATTACTGGAGCATATTGTTGAATGAATATCTAAAAAATCGATCTTATCAGTTATGTATTTTATAGACTTATGTAATTTAATTTAAATTTTGTCTGACTTACTACTTTCAAATGATATATTAAAATCTCTTACTAGTACTGTGTTTTTATAATTTCTTATGACATCCTCCATATTTTTTGCTTTTGACAAATAGTTTCTGTGTTATTTGGTACATATATACTTAAACAATATTTTCATTTTTATAGTTTTGATCATTCACTTTTTAAAAAAATCTCAATTAAAAGGTTTATGCCTTCAATTGTACTTTGGAATCAAGATTGCAACCCTTTATTGTCTTACTGTTTCTTGCTGGATTGTGAATACTTGCCCATTCCTTTATTTTTAGCCTTTTTTAATGACTGTTTTAAATTGTTGTCTTGATTAGAGCATAAAGTTGAGTTTGCTTTATGTTGTTTGTTTGTAGTTGAGTTAAACCTAATCACATTTATTGACATAACTGTTTTGTTTGGTCTCAAATCTGTCATATTATCTTGGAATTATTTTGAGTGTTGTATTTACTATGTTTTTTAAAAAATCATTTTCTGTGTCTTTGCACCATTTTAAAAGGTTATTTTAGTACTTAGGAAAGTCTGTATTTTCATTTTAGTAACTACCTTTGTTTTAATATGTTTAAAAATATTTTTCTTATTTAACACTTTGTTATCATTTGTGTTCATTTTATACAGCACTTTTTGACTGGCACCTACTACATATCAAACAGGCAACAATCATTCTACTCCTTCTCTCCCGGTTTTTAGTTGCATCCTTTCTACTTTGGCAGAGTACGTATGTTTACATATAATTCTTTAACCTCAAAACCCCACCCTTGTGGTAGTCTTAGCTCAATAAATTAAATACATAAAATGACCAATATCAATTTTTGGCCAAAATTTTCCTAGTCATTTTTTGGTTGGATAAAATTCATCCTCTAACAGATTTATCAGACCAAAACAACCAAACAAACAAAAAACAGTTTTTTTTTTTTTTTTTTTTTTTTTTTTAGAGTCTTGCTTTATTGCCCAGATGGGAATCTTGGCTCACTACAGCCTCCACCTCCTGGGTTCAAGCGATTCTCCTGGGTCAGCCTCCTGAGTAACTGGATTACAGGCATGTGCCACTACACCCAGCTAATTTTGTATTTTTGGTAGAGAAGGGGTTTCACCATTTTGACCAGGCTGGCCTCAAACTCCTGAGGTCCATTCATCCATCCATTTTGGCCTCCCACAGTGCTGGGATTACAGGCATTGGCCACCGTACCCAGCCTCAGCATTCTTCAACATTCAACATTGTTTATCTATGTCTTTGAGACTTGAAAGAAATCTTAGCTGGATATAATGTCTTTGGTTCTTGCATTCTTTCCTGAGCTTCTTGAAAATGCTGCTGCACTATTGCTTTGTTATTTTTCCCCCGTAAAAGTAGAAGAGGTAGAAATATTTACTCCTGAATCTTCTTTGAGGATAAGTTTTTTCATTATTCTCTCTTTCTCTCAAATTCTGCATTTCTGACGGCCAATATTTTTCTTCTTCTTTCTTAATCTCTCTATGCTTTACTTCCCTGACTTGCAAAATAGGGATACTGATTGCATGAATGTCACTGAATCAGTGTAATTATAAATGAGATTATACATGTAAACTTTTTCTGTAAAATGTCTGTCATGTACTAACAACTCAATATGTATTTGTTATTAGTGATATATAATTGCATACACATATATTAGAAATAACAATCTATAGCAGGAAGCACATGGCTGAGTATTTCAACTTGCTTCCTCTTTGATTTAGTATGATTCTTACCTTTTCAAAGCAGGAAAATTCTGTAACAAAAAAAATCCATATTTTATTATCAAAAAATTAACACTATGGTCTAACAGAAAAGTACACCGTATGGTGTTCAGGGCATAGATCTTATTTTATAGTATGTTAATTGTCAGGGTGATATAGCAGAGAAATATAAGGTTTCAGAGATTATATTTGATTACAAAACAGATGCATCTACTGTCTGTTACCAGGTCACAAATTTAGTTCAATTATCTTGATCATTTCATTGGTGACATAAGATAAAAATAAAATAAATGTACTATGCTGAAATCAGTTTGTATGTACCTATAAACTTCATTTTGTGTCTGGCTAGTGAATGCATGTTGCTTTTATAGGATGTATGAACAATGATTGTATATTTATACACAGATACTTTAACAATAATTTAACCAGATAACTGTAGATATATTCCTTCAATCTAAATTGGTTGAAAAGTATTTTGTAGAAAACATTATAGTATTGCCTATTCCATTCCTTGCTTCACTAAATTGTGGGACTTAACTACAAAAACTATTTTATAAGTATAATCTCTAACATTAGAAAAATCAGTGTTTATTGCATGTCTTCTACATTCTAAACTTGTACTTTTACTTTGTCCTAGAAGAATTTGCAATCGACTTTGGAACAAGTTTTATATTCACCAAGTACTGAGTTAACTATATAATGCATTTAGGTCCAAACAATGAAGCAACTAGTAAATATACACACCAATTCATTTGTTTAGGCTATGATTAGGTAATGGTGAAGTAAATACAGTTTTCCAGACTGCCTAACCAGCTAGACATTTTTCATTAATTATAGCATTTTATTAGATAAGAGACAAATATAAAAAGATGGTAGAGATTAAAATCAGTAAGGATTTCTTACCTCCCGAGATTACGTAGTTGCATTTAGTTTATGTCTAAGAGTTAGGTAAAGCTGCTGGCATCATCTTCAATATTTTAAATCTAGAGAAACTTGAACCAAAGCCGTTTAGGGAACTAGCTCAATATCTTGAACACCTGTGATCTACATATTTTTAAAAAGACTTATTCTTAGCATAGTAAATTTTAATTTATTATAAAGGAGATAAATGCAAATAGATGTAACTCATTTTAGATAGCTAAACAGCTGCTTTTGTTTGATGGAACAAAACGTATAAAAGGTAGTTATTTTAAGCTCATGCTAATATGATTGATTCATTACATAACTCTCTACTGCTGATTTTAACTCTTGATTTTCTACTCTTTATGGATCCACCAATTTAAATGATAACGTTCATTCATACTATCTTGCAACAGCAAATTGTAATGAATTACTGGTTAACCAGCAGCCCTTGAATAGGCACTGAGCCTATCAGCTGATATGTTATGGATAAGAAGTTTGGTTACAGTGGGAGCTGCTGCTGCTGGAATTTTTTTCTCTCCACATAGAAATGTCAAATTTTGTTTGTGCAGGAGAGAAAAATAAATAAGAGCATATTTAATTGAAGGTGTGATGATAAAGGTATGTCAAAGCTTCCTTCTTTTGTAACTAGATAAACTGTATTTTGTATGAACTCTGAAAAAATGTCCAAGTCAGGGCAACCTTGTAGACAAGAATATAGCTGTTGTAACTACTGTTCTGAATGACAAAACTCCATGGGCAGTTCTTTTGCCCCTCCGGCAGTTCTTTTCTGCCAGGTATCAAGTTCTAAAAGAACAAGGAAATCTTTTCATTGATGGGGGAGGCAGCTGCTAATAGTCAAGGAATCTTAGAGCAGCATATAGCAGCAAGTACCCTTTCCAATAACCACCTAAAATTGTCTCCACTCTCTTCAAACTTCCTTTTTTGCTAACTTCCCGTTTACCTACTGTCCATGATGTGCTGCTCTACCACAAAGGGAAATAGATGTCACCAACAGGCTTTTTTTTTTTTTTTTTTAATTTTTTTTTCTCACTTTGGTTGGGAGAAACTGAGTGACACACTTTCTGTGGTGAAGTTTATATTTCTGATAATCAGGAAATCCAATAATACGGGTTTCAATAGTTTTTCCTTTTTTTTAATTAGAAAACTAATTGATGGTTATGATATTGGTCCTTACACACATATTCACAATCACATCCTCTGCTGTTTATTATGGAAACGCAAAGTCTCCTGGGCCAATTTCAAGTTCACACTTTCCTTTGAACTGATTTTCATAACCTTGTGGCTCAGAATACTCAATGTCTACGATTAATTACACAATAGTCGTATTTTTCTGGATAGGTATTCTGTTTGTGTGTGTGTGTGTGTGTGTTTGTTTTTTTTTGTTTGTTTGTTTTTTTGAGATTGAGTCTTGCTCTGTCACCTAGGAGGGAGTGCAGTGGTGCCATCTCAGCTCACTGCCAACTCCGCCTCCCAGGTTCAAGCGATTCTCCTACTTCAGCCTCCTGAGTAGCTGGGATTACAGGTGTGTGCCACTGCGCCCAGCTAATTTTTATGTTTTTGGTGGAGAAGGGGTTTCACCATCTTGGCCAGGTTGGCCTCAAACTCCTGACCTCATGATTCAACCACATCGGCCTCTCAAAGTGCTGGGATTACAGGCATGAACCACCCCACCTAGCCCTGGATAGGTATTCTTGTGGGTTGAATTGCTTTCCCCCAAAATCCTGTGTCGGAATCCTAACCCCTAGTACCTTAGGATCTGAACTTACTTGAAAATATTAGGTCATTGCAGATATAATTAGTTAAGTTTGAATGAGGTTATACTGGAGTAGGATGAGCCCCCAGTCCAATATGACTGGTGTCCTTATAAAAAGAAATACAAAGATAAAGAGAGTCATAGAGAGGTGACAAGGTGAAGGGACACAAACATCAGAAGAAGATGGCCTTCTACGATAATGGCCTGGAACAGGTTCCTTCTTCTCAGCCCTTGGAAGGAACTGAGTTTTTTCTAAGGAATATTTTACTATAAAATTAAGAAAAAAAAAAAAAAAGAAGAAAAAGGAACTGAACCTGCCGACACCTCAGTTTTAAAATTATACTGTCCAGAGCTGTGTGCCAATAAATTTCTCTTTCTTATGCCATATACTTTGTGACTTTGTTACTGCAGCTCTAGCAAACTAATATAGATGTAATGCCCATCCTAGCTCTGGCATAAATTTTGAATACTTTGAGCTGTTCTGCAGTCTAGACTATTTAAAATATTCTGTCTTAGCTCTCCCACTACCCTGAAATAAATTTTTATATTTTTCACTAATACTTTGATCCCCCATTTGGTTTCTTACATCTAGTCTTGCACTTTTACAAATTAACAAGGTATTCAAGTTGACCTTTTAAAAATCAACCGTTATTAAGTCATGTTCCTGATTACAGTCTTTCACTAAATGCTCACTACTTTAAGGTTAGAATCCAGAAATGATGACTTCAGAAGACAACTTTGAAATGAACTGTTACCTACCTCTCCAGCATCATCTCTTAGCACATTGCCCTCATTCTCTTTGGTGATTCTCATTTCCCTTCATTTCCCAAAATGTGTGAAAACTTCTCTCAAGCATGCTTAAACATTTTTACTGACAAGGAAATTTTATGCAAAAATTTTCAAGACAATGGTAGTGTTTACTGAATGCTTGTCTACTTCACTGTATCATAAATTTCTTGAGACCACGGCTGCTTCATTAATTAACTTTACCCACAGAGTGTAGAAAAATTTGACATGTAGCCAGTACTCAATTCAATTACTTACTTAATTAAATGTTTGAATAAATGAACGTGGATATAGACTGCTTAATATTGGGTCACTAAATCTGATGAGTAATGGCAAAAATTGTTGCAGTATTTACCATTCCTTTAAAGAAGTTATACATTACTAGGTACCTACATCTTCAGGCTCCTGTTCTGGTACTTCTTCCCATCCATTATTCAGTTCTCTCTAAATCACCTCAGTGCATTTGATTAGCTTTCCTCTAGCTGTCTTCAAGCTGCCTCATAATGTAGTGGTGAGGAGCTCAAGCTTTGATGTCAAAATGTTTGAGTAAAAATAGAGGCTCTGGCATTTACTGTTTGAATTATGTATGAAAGAGTCATTGCTGGATACTATGATAATTGTATTAGTTTGGTGCAAAAGTAATTGTGCTTTTGCCAACCTGATATCAACTGGTTCATAGGTCCAGTGACCTTCATTTGGATTTCTTGGTACAGTCCCTGTTTACACTGTTGTCTTAGCATGACATTCGGTTCAGTATTAACACAACACTTCACAATTTTTATGAATTTTTACATTAATAGTTGCATTAAAATAACCAAGCTGCATGTAGAAACTTCACTTCTTCCAGTTTCCAATATAGTCTTGTCTAGTAGGATATGAGAACCTGTTAACTAGTATTTTTATCTGAAGAATGTAATAGACTATTTATATCTCTTTCCGGATACAGACAACTAACCCCTGTCTTTCAAGAACAGTTTGCCGGGTGTTGACCGATATCAAACTGCTTATCCAGGAACCACTAGAAGTGAATCTCTTCTTGAGTATTCCATAGGGCTGCCCCTGCTATTCATTGGGGTCCCAGCCAGTTGTTACTATGTATCCTTTCTCAGTGTATATGATGTGCCGTGTGCCACACCACCCAACTGTGGTGTCAGAGGAAAATGTGAGGCATTGTAAGATGAAAATTCATAGAATATATGTGGCATATAGAGGCTAAGCAGTCTGCCATCAATGGAGGAGTAACCTGAACACTCTTAATACAAATATTGGGTCATTCATTGTGTGGTGTAAATCTAATAATTTCTTTTTTTTCCTTTAACTACCTGATAAGTGACACTTTTTTTTTTTCTTTTTAGTTGTTGTTCAATAGATCATTTCAGAGGAATTAGCTCTAAAAACAAATAAAGAAAAAAGAAAGATCATCATAAATTATGGGGCTTCTCTTCTTAAGGAAGTTTATAGTGAACGTATAATTTCCATAACATGTTTGCAGATATTTGTCATCTATTGTAAGAGTTGTGATGTCATCTACCACATGAGTGATATTGAGAAGGAACAAATCTGCCAAAGATGCTTCATAGTACTTCAAAAGTTAGCAGGTATCTTTTTAAGAAGACTGTGCTTGAAAATGATGGCAAAACACCCTTAGAAGAAGGATGTGCATTTTCACATCAGTCTATGAAGTATAACTTGACATTTAAATTAAAATGATGTTATTCAAATTAATTTAGACTGTTTTAATTCCAAGTTTTCTTGTACAGGGGAGAAGAAGTAAGGGGTAGCTCTAATATGTTGGCTTCATTTACAGAAGAAACATTTTTATAAACAGTTAAATGATGCCAGCTTTATGTTGATGCCATCAGATCTTGCAAAAAAATAAAAAATAAATAAGTTAAATTCAATCATCAGTTGATATTATTTCATTCTACCTATGTAATAAAGAGTCTGTCTCAGTTTTTGATGTCTGATTGCTGCGGGCTTTTAAGTTTCAGCCCTCCCATTTCCTCTCTTGCTCCACATGTAGGCAAAGGGATAAAAAGCCCATTCACTACATCCCTGGACAGTAGGAGGAAGTCCAAAGCATGCAGATCTCTGGCAGTGCACTGCACCTCACACATCCGAGCTCCACCTCCTGACCACAGTAAAAATCAGAGTCACTCTAGCCCTCTTTTTGCTGAGACCATTTTTGTACCTGCTTGGAGCCTTTCCTGTTCTCTCCAGAAAGTCTTATGTGTGTAATAAATCCTTTCCTATCCTCTTGGCATGTGTGTTATCAGTCTTAGCACACAAACCAAATTTTAAGTTCAGTCTGCCCAAAGGAAATATTTTGAATGCTGTTTTAAATTTAATTAAAAGAATAATATTGAGATAGAATTTTTATTTATACTAATAATACAAATAAAACATTTTTGAAGAATTGTTTTTTATATAAAACAATGATCTACTAAATTAGAAAGCTAAGAATTTCAGATTTTATAGAGAAACAGAATATCATATACACATATATAAAATGTATATATGTAATTTATATATATGCATATATATACTACATATATACATGTGTGTGTGTGTGTGTGTATAGAGAGAGAGAGAGAGACAGAGAGAGAGAGAGAGAGAGAGAGAGAGAGAGATTTATGGCAAGGAATTGGCTTATATGATTAAGGATCCTGGCAAGTTCAAATCTAT